TGACCTCTCAAGAGTGTTGGGATTGTAGGCACAAGCTACTATGCCTGGCACGTTTTGGCCTTTTTAATACAAAATTTACACCCAAGGTCTGGCTTTCATGCTACAAGGGTGTTGTCCTCTCTCAGGGTCTCACACGTTCCTTCCAGAGAATGAGAATGAGTCATGTGGCCACGGGGTCCTTTCTACTTCTGGGATCCTAGAGCAGCAATGCCTACCTGGAGAGCCATTCCCTGCCACATATTCAAGTTCAAATTCATTAACATGAAATCAGAAGTTCAGTTCCGTGGTTGCACTTGCCTGACTCTGGGTGCAGTCGCTGGGGGCGGCCTGTTTCCATCAACACAGTTCTGGACACCACTGCTCTAGGTTGTGTTGAATGTCACTGGATGACCTTGGCCATCAGATGTCAGCTGCAAGGCAGCTGGAGACTTCACAGCAGTTGACCTATAGTTGAAGGTCACCTCGGTCCTGGTCCTCATCAGGATAAAGTACAGGACTTGCCCTGTGAGCAGCTGCCTACTGAAGAGCTCACACAGGAGACAGGTGCAGGTGGCCCCAGATCATGGCCCTAGGATTCTGCCCTGGGCCAAACACCTATCGGGTCTGAGGACAAAAGAAAGACATTTTTAGAGGGACTCAGGATTTGAGTGCCATCACTGAAAAATTTATTCAGAGGAGCTCTCTACCCAAACAATTGAATCCAAGTAATGAACTGAAGGGAAAGGTACAACTGGGAGCAGCAGGAGCAGCAAAACCAGCCCAACCTGAATTCAAAAGGATGTATTTAATGTGCTTGTGAAGCTTTTTGCAAATGCTTAGACATAATTCTTGACAAGATAGAAAATTTCCCCCCACAAGGAATTAGTGATGTGGAGCACATGTTATTGCTCCATATGTTAATTGCTTTTTGTAAATCTAAGACTCCTGCGTTAAGGGGGGTGGTCTCCAAAAAGCAGTTACACACTCACCTGAGGAACTGAACATCCCGCCTGGGGTGCAAGGTGCAGGAGTGCCTGTTGCATGTCAGCACACAGACACATGTACAACTCTGACATGTGTGCACGCGCAGCGTACACGCAGACCCAACTCGGACGCATGCTCAGCAATCAAGCAGCCCCTTACAGAACCCTGGATGCCCAAGGATGGACGCGCACCATACACACAGCTCTGACATGACCCATGCGCACCATACACGCAGGCCTGACACGGATGCACGCACAGTATACACGCAGACGCGATGTGACGTACTCACAGCATTCACGCAGCTCCAGTGCAACACACGCACAGCATACCTGCAGCCATGACACGGATGCAAGCATAACACACATGCATGCCCAGTGACATGGAGAAAGCCTAAAACTGAACTCGTTGCCCTGCCTAAGCTGGGAGGTGGGCTGGTGCTGTCCAGGCAAGCCCAGAATATGCTGCCACAGGTCTGGAGGGGGCAATTTCTGGCTCTGCAGGTCCCAGGGTGCGTGTCACAGGCCCCTGCGGTGCGCTATCTGCCGTGAGTCTGCTGTTGGTGGCAGCTCCCTAGCAGAGGCTATTCTGAGTAGTCTGCTTTCAGAGGCATGTTCTTGGGAGTAAATGTCACGTGTTAAGTAGGGTTAAAGCTGTTACTGGTGTTCTCTGCTCCAGTGGCTATGGATATGTTAGTCTTTGTGCATGTACATCCATGTACATCCATGCACAGCCACGTACACACTCAGCCTCTTACAGAGCCCTGGATGCCCACAGCACAACAAGCAGGGGCAGGACACGTGATACACTATGCCTACTTGGCGCCCCTGGGTCATGCTGCTCCTGGGCCCCACGTTGCCCTTGCAAGTACCTGACAGAAGGCCTGGAGGGCCCAGCCCAAGCCACAGGTGCTTAGCTGCTCCCTAGTCTCCAGGCCCCTCCCACCTGCCACCTCCTCAGTCCCAAGAAACCCTTTTGGGGCAAACAGGGCAGGCAATGGCTCCCCCTGAGGGGACATGGGGGATACTGGTATGTCCAGAGTCTGAGCTGGTTCCCTGGGGCCCCTCCAGGCCACAGGTTGAGGACCCAACACTGCATGAGGGGAGGGGCAGGCCAGCCAGAGGATGCAAGGTGGGAGTGGTCCGTGGCCCCAGTGACCTCAAGATGACATGCCTGGATGCGGGGCAGGGGTAAGGACAGGACCCACAGGAGCAGCCAGACCTCTGCCCTGGGAAACACAAGGCCCCCAGAGACACCAGGACAGGAGAGTATCCCTAATGTCTGCCCTGCAGGAGCCAGCCCCAGGGACCCTTGAAGACTGTGGTCAGTAGTGGGAGCCAGAAGGCTGTGATCACCAGTCCCATTATTGTCACGGATGTAAGTCTGTTTCCCCTTTCTGTTTCTTCTTCAGTCATTTTTGGTGACATATTTTTACAGACAACTCTAATTCAGGTGAACTTCATGATGTACTGACACAAATTCATTCATAATATTCCCTTATGATTTTCTTAAGCTCTCCCATTTTTGTAATTACAGCCCTATTTTCTTTCTTTTTTTTTTCTTTGTGAGGTAGAGTCTCACTACATCACCCTCAGTAGGGTACTGTGACGTCACAGCTCACAGTAACCTCAAACTCTCGGGCTTAAGCAATTCTCTTGCCTCAACCTCCCAAGTAGCTGGGACTACAGACACTGGTCACGATACCCGACTGTTTTTGTTGTTGTTGTTCCTTTTTTTTTTTTTTGCAGTTTTTGGCCAGGGCTGGGTTTGAACCCTCCACCTCCAGCATATGGGGCCGGCGCCCTACTCTTTTAAGCTACAGGGGCCGCCCAGTTGTTGTTGTTGTTGCAGTTGTCATTGTTATTTAGCTGGCCTGGGCTGGGTTCGAACCCACCACTATTGGTGCATATGGCTGGTGCTGTAACCTCTGTGCTACAGGCAGTGAGCCAATAGCACATTATCCCCATTTTCTTTCCAGATATAGCTTGTGTCTTTTTCTTTTCTGTTAAATATCAGTCTTCTGGAATTGAAATCTTAACTCAAATTCACTCTTTCCCAGGTTTCAGTAAATGGATTTATACCTGTAAATTTGTGTCTGCAAACTCGAATATACCCCCTGGAGGTCCTCATCCCATCAGTGTTGCCCAGTTGTCTACTCTCCTTCACTTTTAAATATTTCACAATTTCTATTGTGAGTTCTTTATTTATCCATGAATTATTTAGAAAAGTAACTTTCCAAACTTATGGGGTATCTTTTTGCTACTTTAATACAATCATTGATTTTAGTTTACTTGCTAGAGAACTTAGAGTCTCTCACATTTCTTGAGGCTTCCTTTATGATTGATTAAAAGAATTTTTGCATATTTAAGGAAAGCTGAAAAAATAATCTATTAATTTTGCAGCAAAGTTCTATATGTACCTATTAGGTCAGGCTTCTTAACTTTATTGCTCAGATTTTCATCCTTACTTTTTTTTTTTGAGGCACAGTCTCAAGCTGTTGCCCTGGATAGAATGCCAAGGCATCATAGCTCACAGCAACCTCCAACTCTTGGGCTCAAGCAATCCTCTTGCCTCAGTTTTTCTATTTTTAGTAGACATGGAGTCTTGCTTTTGCTGGTCTTGAACTCCTGAGCTCAAGTAATCCACCCACCTTGGCCTCCCAGAGTGCTAGGATTACACGCATGAGCCACTGTACCCGGCCTCATCCCTACTATTGATCATCCTTACTCTTAATCTTTCAGATTCTGGTGGAGCAAGTTAAAATCTTTTCAGAAATAAGAGGTTGTGAGTTTTTGGTTTGTTTTTTTTTTTGGTAGAGACAGAGTCTTACTTTATCACCCTTGGTAGAGTGCTATGGTGTCACACAACTCACAGCAACCTCCAACTCCTGGGCTTAGGCAATTCTCTTGCCTCAGCCTCCTGAGCAACTGGGACTACAGGTGCCCGCCAGAATGCCCGGCTATTTTTTTGTTGCAGTTTGGCAGGAGCTGGGTTTGAACCTGCCACCCTCGGTATATGGGGCCAGTGCCCTACCCACTGAGCGACGGGCACCACCTTCATGTAGTTATGTTGAGCTTTGCTTTATGTATTTATAGGTTTCTTGTTGCATAGAAGCTAACACTTGGGATCTCTTCAAAGTAGATACTTTTTTGTTCTTCAAAAAAGAACAGGCT